GTGCTGTCATCTGCTTCCTTTCACTGGGCAGTGGGAAAATGGTTAAAAGCATGAACTTCAAGTGTACAGGAGAAACAGGGTACAGAAGAACATGCTAAACAATACCACAGAGATGACATCAGCCCCATTCAGGAGAGGAATTGTACAGGAAAAGTCAACAAATACAAAGTGGAAAAGAGGAAGGCAGTCAATAGATTAGAAGATCCAAAAGAGAGAGAGCGCCAAATGCAATGTGTGGGACCTATGGCATCCTGATTCAGACTAACCAAATATAAAACATTTGACAATCAGGGAAATGTGAATAGTGGCTGGTTATTTGATGATATTAAGAAATAATAATTTTAGGTGTGTTAAGGGTATTGTGGCTATGTTAAAATTAATAAAAACACCATCTGATATGATATGATGAAGAGAGCACTTCATCTCTATGATACCAGTACTTCCAAAACCATCAGGGCCATCAAAAACAAGGAAAGTCTAAGAAACTATCACAGGTACTGTGACTGACACTGACTAGAGAAGGGTGAGAGAACATGATAACTAGATATAATATAATATGTTCCTGGATAGGATCCTGGAACAGAGAGTGGACATTCATGTAAAAAATTCAGGGAAGACTTGGGGGGCAGTTAATAGGAATGTACCAATGTTGGTTTCTTAGTTTTGACAAATATACTGTGGCAATATGAGACGATACCATTAGGGGACAATGAGTGAAGATTATGCAGGAATTCTCTGTTTTTAACTTCTGTAAATCTAAAATTATTCCAAAATAAAAAGCTTATTAAAAAAAACAAACAAACCAAATAGTCTTCATTTCTTAGAGATACCTCCTAGTAGGTTCAATGAAATGAAGGGATGCTTGGGCTTTGCTTCAAAAATAATTCCCTGGCTGGCAATGAGGGGTGTATAGATGAAACGAGGCGGGCCATAAGCTGGTTATTGCTGAAGCTGGGTGTTGGGTGCACAGGGATTGGTTGCTAATAGCCTCCACTTTGCATGCTTGTAATCCTCCATCATAAAAAAGTTGGCAATAAACAAACAGGGACTCTGGAGCCAGGCTGCCTGGGAAGTCACTTAATCTGTGTGCTGCAGTTTTCTCACCTGTAAATTAGAGCTCACTGTACCTTCTTCACGGGGTTGTGAAAATTAAGTAAGTCAATACACAAAAAGCCTGGAATAATGCTTAGCTATCATCATCATTTTATGAGGAGAAAAATAGGCACAGACCAATGCCAATCATCCTTTCTCTACTCTCTGACTCTGCTCAGTACTCTTCCTTCTCCTGCTCTTTTGCACAGGCAATCCTTGAGGGGGGAAAGGAAGAGGAGTTCTGGGGTGATTTGGGGGAGTAGGGAAAGACCTTGGTGCCAAGTCCAGCAGAAAGTGGTGAGCTTAGTTGAGGGATAAGGAGTACATGGGCACTGGGAACAGACCCTGGATTATGAACCACCCAAGGCAGGCTTCTGTCAGGCCAGCACAGAGCATGATGAGTATACACTGGACACCTGCCACATGCCAAACACTGAGGGTAGCACCCAGATAGAGATGTGGGCTGGGCCCTGAAGGGGGTCATCAATCCAGTATACATGTAGTCGACCTCTGTGTCCTTAGACTCCCCACCTTAGGGACCCCCTCCCCCACTCTGGAGTGTCTCAGAGCTGATGAATTCTACACTGTTAAATATGCCCCTACTTGGCTGCAATTTTACAAGATCTCTAAGGGACAATTTGGAGAAAAGTTGGAGTCAATTTAACTCAAGTCCACAAAGACCTACTGAAGTGTCTACAGCGCATTCACTTATGCAACAAATCTTCATTAAGCACCTCTTAACTGTCAGACTCTGTGCTGAGCCCTGGAGCATCAACAGGGAGCAAAGACAGGCATAGTCCCTGCTTCCACAAAGCCTGTGGTTGGAAGGCAGACACAGATGGCAATGAAATAATCAACCCAAATCAACATGTACACTGAGATGGGTGCTTTGCTGTAGGCAAACACAGTCAAAGACTCAACCTGGGGTAGGAAGAGACTTCCCCAAGGAAGTGATGCTTCATGGACACAGGAAGGGATGAGGAAGCATGAGAACAAGAGCTGGGGTAAAGGAAGAGGTGGTGTTCCAGGCAGATGGCCCAGTGGTGGGAGGGAACACAGTGGGTTCAAAGGCTGAAAAGCAGCCAGTGAGGTGGGAAGGAGGGTGTGAGGGGTGGGTGGGTGGTATGATTTAAGGAAGAAGTAGTCAGCAGTGGTGGGCCATGAAGATCTATGGAGCCTCTTCAGAAGTGAGGTCTTGGCCGGACATGGTGGCCTACATCTGTAATCCCAGCACTTTGGGAGGCTGAGACAGGAGGATCGCCTGAGTCCAGCAAGCAGGGGTAGTCACTGGAAGATATTTAAATATGTAGGGGGTGGGGAGCCACCTGATCAGACCGTATGTTAAGAGTATTGTGGTTGTGTTAAAGTTAATTTTTTAAAAACCCTCTGACATGATGTGATTAAGAAAGCACTTCACCTATGTGATCTTCTTTCCCCAAAATCCATAGCCTCAGTCTATTCACGAGAAAGACATAGGGCAAACTCAAACTGCAGGACATTTTGTTGGGACTCTGCTTTGCAGAAAAAGGCAGGATTAGAACAGGGCCAGAGTGAAAGCAGGGAGACCTATTAGGAGTCTTCCACAGTGGTCCAGGAAATAGATGGGAACTGAGTCTAGAATTCTGGCAGCGAAGATGGGCAGACTTGGGAGCTGATTGAGAGGTGAGATCACAGGGCCTCTGGTTGTATTTCAAGGGGGACGGAGAAGAAGGAAAGTATACAGGTAACTCTCAAGTGTCTGACTCCAGAGATTGGGCAGCAAATTAGGTTGCTTGTAGAGCCTCCAGGGAGTTGGGTGAGAGAATCAGGTCTAGAGGAAAGAGAAGTCCCTTAACATGGATGAATCATCTGCAGTGTGTTTTATGCAGGTCATTATGCTGTAGGAGGGGAGCAAAAGCAAATACAACAAACACTTCTACTGCCTTTAAGAGTAGTGGCAAAAAGAGGTACCAGCAATGGCTGGGAGTGGAGTAGCTCAACTGTGTATCTATGGCTCTAGAGCGGTGATTGCAGGAAAGGGCTCAGTCATTTAAGGCACTAAGAGATACTCGATAACTGATGGGTAACTGAATGTTCCAAGTGCCATACACAGATAACAGACATCAGGAAAAGAAAAAGAAAGAAAGAAAAAAACACCCACAAACCTTTACTCAGCACTATATGCCTAACCCATCTCAGAGAAAGATAAGAGACAGGGAAGGGCAAGTTCAGTCTCTTCTCTTAAAGGGCCTACAAGGGGTTGAAAGAAACCTGCAACAAACATTTACAGGACCACAGGGCAGACTGTATGGAAAGGTTGAGCTATGAGGATCCCACCTGGGGTGGCAGAAGAGGCATTCAGGAGGAAGTCAGCCATCTGATGGGGTCAGAGGGGTGAACAACAGCAGAGAAGAAGGCAGTAAGTATTTCCTGTAGGCACCAAGCCTGAATGAGCACTGAAGGATGAGTGGAATGGGGGGGGGCACGTATGAGAGAGAAGACAGGCAATGAAGGGTCACTCAAGTCCAGGCAGTGGCACCCTTGACAGCCTCCCCCCTAGATGGCATCCTATACTGGCAGGAAGACACCAGTCTGCCTCAGGTACCTACATGCTGAGATGCCCTATTTTTAAAATAAAGTCCTGTTTAAAAACACTGGGGACACGTTTTCCCCCCAGAAGGCTCAGGAGAGCAGTTCCTTAATTATCAGCCAAGTTCAGGCCACCCCTTTGCTGAAGCCAGTCTCCCGTCCACCACCACGACTTTAAAAAAAAAAAGAAAGCCACCGCACCGACCTTTGTACAATTTCCCTTCTTCCTGCAAAGTTCTTTCTGGCTGCCTCCGCTGCCACCCACCCCAGGCAAGCCCCGGTTCACTTAGGCCATATCTTTTTGCCCTTTTCCTAATAAAGTCCATTTCCTCGGCGCGGGAGGCAGCGGAGGCCCGAGGGTCTGCGGCGTGGGAACAGCCCCTCCCCGATTCCTGGCTATGGGTTCGAACCCGATTTCCATGTCGAGGGCCGAGTTAGCGTCGTCCTGGCTGGGGTCCCGGGGGAAAATGACCACTGTCAACCCCAAGAGCCTGAGCGAGTCTGGACAGAGTCGAGCGCTTGGCGGCTCCAGGGCCCGGCTGCGAGAGACCCTCTGCAGGAGGCCCTCCGCGGAGGATGCAGCGAGAGAAGGGCTGGGGACGGGTGGGGGGTCTCCCGGGGCGGCAGACCCTCCAAGGGACTGCAGGCCCGGGGGTGGCACAACGTTCCCCCCGCACCCTCGGCTCTCCCCGCACATCCCAGCTCCATCCCCTCAGGGCATCAGCCGACTCGCTGCGTCAGCTAACCCTCAGCCCGGGTATGTGATGGGGGAGTCCCCCGGTCGCCTCGCCCCTTGGCACTCGGCCCTACCCTGCCGCGCAGCGTAGACCCGGCTTGGGTTCGAGGGCTGGGAGCTTGACCGCAGGGCAGCACCGCGGCTCCGCCAGCAGCTCGAAAGAATGTCAGTCCCCTCTTAGGGAAAAAGTTAGGCGACATCCCGGCCACGCCAACTTCTCACCCAGGGCCGGACTCGAACTTTGCGCCCAGAGGGGCGGCTGCACATTCCGGAGCGACCCTGGAGCCGCTCGGACCCGGGCGCCCAGGCTGCCCGGCCGCGGCCGGCGGCGGCCAATCACAGAGCGCCTCGGGCGGGAGAGGCTGGAGGGCGCGGGCAGTCGGGGAATGACGGCGCCAGAGGCCAATAGGGAGCCAGAGTGGGAGCCTCGCCCGCCCCACTGACCAATGGGAAAGGGGTGGCTTTGGCTGAGGTCCCCGAGGTGCTAGCTGCAGGCTCCGTGGCCGTGGGCTGGAGACCCCAGGGCTGGAGGGGACTTTGGAGGGGAGTTTGCTGGCCCTCTTTGTGCCACCCGCCGACCCGCAGGCCACAGCGCGGTCCTCACCTGCTGGAAGCGGGGTTTGCCCAGCTGGAAAGGGGGTGCATCGGCCGAGGCGTTCGCGGCACTAGCCGCGGCCGCCGATGCTGTAGTCGCTGTATCCGCCATGGCCACTGACGCCCGCAATCTCCGGCCCTTTTAAAATGTCCCTCCTCGGCCCCCGCCACAACTGCCTCTCCCGATTGGCCCTAAGCAACCGCAGCGAGCGGGAGGCGCAGGGGATTGTGGGGAGTGTAGTTTTTCTCGTTTGGGCGCTTGCCAACCCTGGACTGCGGAGAGTTGCACCCACACAGCCCAATCTCGGTGCCCGGGAAAGGGTGTGCATGCACGTACGACTCTGAGGTCCCGACAGGGGGTCACGGGTCAGCCCTCGCTGCTTACCTGCGTTCAGAAGTTTGAGTCGCTGCTGTAGATATCGCTCCCAGAGCGGCAGTTCAGAAGGGCCCCACTCCTGCGGGCCTGACCTGAGACCAGATGGACGAGGACTCCAGGCGGAGTAGGGTTAATCTCGGAAGGATTTCTGCAAGCAGTTGCATTGCGGAACCTTCGTGCAGTTTCTTCCGTCGCGGAACCTTCGTGCAGTTTCTTCCGTCGCCTCCCTACCCACTTGCCCCGTGCGTGCCCTCCAGCCGCCCTGACACTCAGTTCCTGGAGCATGCCGGGTCCTGAACGCCCCCAGACTCTTGAATATTTTGTACCCAGAAGTCTTTCATCTTCCCCGACGCTGGTCCTCTTTCTGGCCTCAACCTGAACATTGCATTCCGCGGTCCATCACCCTACTTCTGCAAAATCCCAAACATGCTACTATGGCACCCAGCACTTTTTTGCAGCCCTTGCATTTACAGTTATTTGTGGTTTTGGATATGTCTTTCCTATCATAAGGTTCACAGGACAGGCACTGTTTGATTCACTGCTAAGTCTTCAGTGCTAGGCATAGGAGGTCTCACAGAAGGGACTCAAACCTGTATTAACTGTGAGTAAACCAGAAGGGGCTTAAGACCCCTGACAACCTCCACCTCCTTTGGCCAACCAAGGAAGATCCCTGCCGGCCCTAACTCCTGGGCAGGAGAACTGGGGAGTGGAGAGTGGGGTTCAGTAGCGTTCATCAAACACCAGCTACAAAGACTTTAGGTAGGGGAGAGTACTGCAGATTGTGGAGTAAGTGCGCCAGCATGGATCACACACACTGCTGGCCGAGATGGGTGGCTCAGCCTGTAATCCCAGCACTTTGGGAGGCTGAGGGGAGTGGATTACCCGAGCCCGCAGGTTCAAGACCAGCCTGGGCAACTTGGTGAGACCTCGTCTCTACAATGAATAAAAAACTGGCCAGGTGTGGTAGCGTGTGCCTGTAGTTCCAGCTACGTGGAAGGATCGCCAGAGCCCAGCAGGTCTACACTGGGGTGGCCATGAGTGTGCCACAGCACTCCAGCCTGGGTGACAGAGACTCCCCCCCCAAAAAACAACAAAAAAAACCACACACACACACACTGTTGCAGAATAGAGTAGTAGCTAAGGATTTCCAGCTGAATTACCTGGCCAGTGAGCCAAACTGGTGTGCGCCTGGGAGAGGGGAGGGGAGGACGAGGCAGTGCCGGCTACCTGTTTCACCCGAGAACAACAGATATATTTAGTGGTGATTCTAAGGTTCCACTTTGAGACTCATTAATCTCATAGTGAGGTGCAAGGCTGGCTCATGTATGCCCATGTCTTTCTGGACACTGCATGAGCTGTAGCAGAGTTCCTCTAACAATTGAACCACAGGAAACACTTTTCCTAAAGCTAGAGAGGGACTCTAGCTAGCCACAAAGAACAATTTGTTCCCTGAATTTGTAGCTTATCTTCCCCTACTAGACCAAGCAGGTTGAGAATGGGGGAATCAGTTTTTTACCCTCTATATTATCACATAGTACCCAATAAATGTGAATATCCTGAGAAAAAACTAAATCTAGGCCACTGAGCAACACTGTGCTGCTGTCCCCTTATGGTAGGTAGGGGCAGTGTCTTCCAAGAATCCCATCACCTTGATTTAAGGCTGCTTTCTCCTCCAGGAAGTTCCTTTCACCTGCTCATTCCAAAGCAGGAACACAACAGAGCCACCTGCAGTACATGAATTTTTATTCCTCATAAAGTGCCCAAAACATGAATAACAAGCTCTTTATAAACAGGAGTTACAACTAGGAAGACAAACAGCAAAGCAGAACTGTGCCTGCTCTCTACCCACAACCCCCCCCCCCCCCACAGCTCTCCTCCAAGTTGCGGCCAGGAGCAGAAGCATCCCATGTGAACCTTGGGCTTCAGTTCAAAACATCTTCTGAAGACATATCTACCCCAGGCATTTGTGAGGCCCACAAAGATGAACAGAATATCAGGGCAGAGGCTGAGACTGAATATAGCCCAGAGGAATACATAGTAGGGGAGTGACTCCCCCTCTCTCAGAAAAGATATTTCCCTAACACCCAAAGACCCACAAAAAGCATGGCTGAAGTCCTGGACATCTGTGGATACATTTCTCAGCTTCGATGAGAGGGCCTTAAGGTAAGTAACTTTACAGGAACTTTCCTCCATGTGTGGGGCCTCCTCTGCTCCATCCAGGCAGAAGACAGACATCATCCATGCAGCACATGTCCTCCTGAGGTCTTTCAAGCGAGCCCACAGGCCCTCTCACGAAGAAGCAATTCTCTCCTGGAGGAGCTCTTGCCTCCTCACTGGGCCAAAGTATCCTCCTTCAGCACCTCCTTACCCCCCTATTTTTGCTAATGCAGGGTGTCCCAAGCCACCAAAAGTTCCCTGCAAAGGCCCTGGGGAAGCCTGCTGTTTTCTACAAGCAAACCAGGGACTGGGCCAAAAGACAGTTACTTCATTTCGAAGTGCACTGCAGCCAAGCCAGGCAAGGCCCCGGGGCAGGCTGGGACTGCGGTTTTAGTGGATGGATGGGGGGGGGGTAACAAAAGCTTTTCCCTAAGCAGAGTTGTCTCCTAAAGGCATAGTGGGACTTCCCACTTTCAGACCAGCCAACTGGTCTAGCGCAGCTGAGTCCTGAGGCCAGGAGGAATGAGAGCAGGCTGGGTAGCCTCAGGCCAACCTGCTGGCTTGCCCAGCAGTAGCTTTTATCCTGTTTATCCTAGGATCCTCCTAATGGGGTTGAGGGAGTGGGAGGAGGCAGCACGGAGGCTGAGGGAGCAGCAGCAGCAGCTTGGCCAGACCCTTGACTGGGATTAGCTCTAGTGGAGGAGAAGCGCCCACAGCAGGGCTGCCCTCACCATCCATTCCCAACCCCGGGTCCCTGACAGACCCATCCTATGTGCTCAACAGGTGGGAAGGGCACACCACACGGGGGCGGGGGAGAGGTCGACATCCAGAGGTTCTTGACCCCACCCACAAAAGGCACATTTTAATTGGTTTCCAAAAGTTCAAACCCTGCAGCCGCACAGAGTTTTGGCATCTAGACAGGCAACAAGAATAGACATGGAAGCTTGATCTCCAAAACAGAAGCAGCCCAAAGCCCTGATCTGGAGGGGCCTACATGTCAGAGGTGGGGGAGAACTCGAAGAGCAAGGAGCTCTCCCCCCACTCACGCATGACGCTCAGTGGAAAGGTCAGAGGGAACAGGGTACAACCTGGAGAACACACATCACCCACCTCTGTCCATACCGCACTCACTCCACAGACAGCTCAAGACGGAAACAGACTCAGGACATGGCAGATTCTAGACCAGACCACAGAGGCTCCTTGCTCTTAGGGAATGGGCATGAGGCTGAAGTGTAGGCACCCTCATTGCCCATAACTCAGACGAACAGGCAGCTTGGTCCCTGTCCCAATAAGACCGGAAGCCCCTCCAGGGGCTGAAGGGAAATGAAGAGGACGGGGTTTGGCCGTGGGAAGAGATGGCTGGCCACGCTTGGAGGGTAATAAAGTGTGTGCTAGCAAACAGCCTCAGTCCAGATAACACACCAAACTGCAGCTCACCCCTGCTGCATCTTGAGGGCTACATTCCTTGCTCCAATTCCTCGGAGCCCCCAAACCTAAGGGGTATGAAAATAGGCAGGTGGGAATGGCCCAGGGCTCTCACAGACACACAAGTTGTACATGGATCCTGAGGCCTCCAAAGGGAATCCAAAGGGCCTCCCTTTCAGCAGCTCTGGTAGAGGCGGGAGGGAGAAGGAGCAAGGAGTGATGAGGACAGACAGCACGCTGCCCCAGGTGAGAGAGTTCAGTGGGAAGGAGGGCAGGCAGGCAACAAGTCCACGCCAACCCTCCTGGGGGTGGGGGTGAGGAGGGCTATTTGGGGGGGCCGGGGGGGATTTGCAGCAGTGTGGGTGAGGTCTCCATGATCCGAACCAGCAGCCGGTCAATGTAGCTCTCCAGCTCCTGCACGTGCTCGTCCCGCTGGCTCAGCTCCCGCTCCCGTTGCAGGAGCAGTCCGATGAGCTCGTCATGAGTCAGGTGGTAGTACTTGGCCGACTGGTCCAGCACAGCTGAGTCCTGAGGCCACACGGAGCGAGAGTGAGCGAGAAAACCCCAGGCCCATCCGCCTGCCATCACCCAAGTTTCACCATTTCACCAAAGGGGCCCAGGGCTGCCTCTGTCTCCAGTGTCAGAGGTGGCTCAAATGGCTTGAGGACTCTGGCATGGGGTACCTAGTCTGTCTCCTGCTCCACCCTCCCCAGCACCCTGCCCCGAGACTCTTTAGTACCCCCCAACTCCGCACCCTGCCGGGCATCACCTTCAGCCTCTTGGGGTCCACAGTCTGGCCAACTTGGGGGGCCAGAGCCACAGGCTGAACACTGCCAGATGTGACTGTTTTGAGCTTCTCCAGGCCACTGCTCAGGGCTGTGCTCAGACTGGAGCGGGGCTGCTTCCTGTCGGGGCTGCCCTCCACAGGGACAGCACTGAGGGGCTTCACAGGGTGGGGACTGCAAAGATAGATAGCAAATGGGTTACAGGGAGAGAAAGACAGCACAGGTCAGGGGTAGGGCTGCCTTCTCTGTGGAGCCTCTGCGTCTGCTGGACAGAAGGCCCACCACTTAGGGGCGGCTGCCCCTGCACAGTCAAGGTCTTGGGGCAGCTGTACCCAGCACGTCTCAGCAGCTCTCTGTGGCCGCCTCAATCTTCACCTCACCACCTCCTTCTTCTCCCTTCTACTTCCTCGTTGACCTGATGACCCAGCCTCTTCACAGGGACAATCGAGGCCATCCCACAAACTTCTCTACACCTGCACGCAGTCTTTTCCCAATTTTTCCAGGACTGTCAGGATTCCCAGGTCGTGGGACCTCTATTGCTGAAACCAGGAGAGACCTGAGCAAACTGGGATGCTTGGTCAGCCAGCTCCCTACTGGCTGTTCTCCATCTGCATTTAGACAGGGTTGCAAAACCCTGCCTTGACCTTGTATTTGCTCTAGCTGTCATCCCTGCCCCCACATCCTTCCTGCTCACCCAAGCCTCCCCAGAGCACACACACCAAGCTTGTGTCTAGTTTCTCACCTTCCGTTGACTCCTCAACCCGTTAGAACAGAACGTCGCAACACCCTCCACCCCCACATAAGTGTACTTGCTGAAGTCACCTCGGCCGCTCTTTCCTATGGGCCGCTTGTCTCCCTTTCTTCGGGGACCCCACGTAGTTTTCCAACCCCAGACAGCCCCTCCTCGGTCTCAACTGCTGGTCTTCCCTCAACCCTCTCCTCCTCCTTGGCTCCTACCACTCCTCACCCCAGGGCTCCAGACCCACGGAAACAGGCAGGCTCAACTCCCTCAGGTGTGTCCCTCCCCTACACACCTGCCCTTTCCTCTGTGCTGCTCCTAGCATGAGCAGCACTGTTGGGTCCCTGGCTCAGGTCAGAAAGTCGGAAGCCTGAGAGGCCTTCAGCTCATGCCCTTCAGCCTCATCCTTAGCATCCAAGCCTGCCACCCTCCTGCCTTCTCTTAAGCCAGACCCTCTGCTCTGCTAAACCCTCCTTCTAGCCACAGTCACCAGACCCGCTCCTGGGCCTTAGTCTTGCCCACCTCCAGCAGTGTCTCCATTCTACTGCAGGACAACGATCGTGGCCTTTCCGATGCCTGAAAACCCTCAATGGCTCCTATCGAGGTAGGAAAACACAGTCTGGCCTCTGCCCTTTCCTCATGGCTCACTGCTGCCCCAGCCACTGGAAACACGCTCCTTCTTATCTTCAAGCCCTTATCAAAAGCCATTCTTCGCCGGGCTCGGTGGCTCAGCCTGTAATCCCACGCCTTGGGAGGCTGAGGTGAGTGGATTGCCTGAGCCCGCGGGTTCGAGACCCACCTGGGCAACTTGGCGAGACCTCATCTCTACAATAAATCAAAAAATTAGCCGGGCGTGGTAGCACGCACCTGTAGTTCCAGCTACATGGAAGGCTGAGGCGGAAGGATCGCCGGAGCCCAGCAGGTCGAGGCTGGGCGACTCCAACTCAAAAAAAAAAAAAAGCCATTCTTCTGTCTAGAACACTGCCCCAGCTTCCATTAGCTTGCTAATTCCTACTTATGTTTCAAAGTTATGCAAGGCCACCTCCTTCAGGAAGCCTTCCTGATTCCCCCAGGCTTATATGACCCTCCTCTGGGATCTCCCAGCATCCTGTAACTGTGACAGTTACATAAACTGCGTCAACAACTGCATCAGGCCCCCAAATCGACTAAGCTGCCCAGGGGAATCTTTTACAAATTTATGCTTACTTCACAGAGGATTTAGATTGTTCAGGAGGAGGAAGCAAAATGGTTTAGTTCAAGACCTTGAATTCCACTGAAGCAAGAAACCCTCAGGATAGAGCTGTGGACTCAGTCTCACAAATCTGGACGAGTGGCAGAGTGCCCAGCACAGGCGGCAGTAGAGGAAAAGCACTCATCTCAGTCCTTTCTGGTTGCCTGGATGTCTGCCCCAGGAATGGGTTGCAAAAGCAGTTCTCATGCCACCTATGGGCTGGGCGGGGAAGAAGAGGATGACCACCACTACACAAAAGTGGCCAGAATGAGGGGCCAAACAGGCCTGGACTCTCAGCCTGCTTGTCCCTCCCTCTGAGGGACCCTGGACCCTGCAGCTCCATGGACTCCATTTCCCCATCTGAGGAATGGGGGCAGCTCTACTCAGTCCACCCACTTCATGATGTAAGGAACATGCCCGGTACAGACACGAAGCCAACTCTGAGAAGAAAGAAAACTTAACAAAAAGTGAGGCTGGGTGCGGTAGCTCATGTCTGTAATCCCAACACTTTGTGAGGCTGAGGCAAGCAGACTGGATGAGCCCAGGAGTTCGAGACCAGCCTGGGCAACACAGTAAGACCTTGTCTTCACCAAAAAAAAGTCAGAATTAGCTGGGTGGTGTGGTGCATGCCTGTGGTCCCAGCTACTTGGGAGGCTGAGGTAGAAAGATCACCTGAGCCCAGGAAGCCGAGGCTGAAATGAGCCATGATCATGCCCCTGCACTCCAGTGACAGAGTGAGACCCTAACACACACACACACACACACACACACACACACAGTAAACATGGCTAGTGTGATTAGAGGTTGTGCTGAAGGCAGCATGGCCAGCTGAGGACACTGTAACCACCAGCTTCGCATCTCCCTCCCCCACCTCCGGGGAGCAGCATTACCACTACCCCTGGGGAAGAAAGCTATAGGCAGCCTGGCCTCCCTCCCACCCACCCACTTCTCATATATCAGCACTGGCTCTTGGGGCCTTCCTTCTCGGGTCCACTCTGTCTTCCCCACTGGGTTCAGAATTCCTTGGGAACGGAGTGGGGACAGTGTCTCATCTCTGCTCGGGGTCTGGACGCAGTAGATGCCCAGCGAATTTGGAGAACCCACTGCATGACCCAGCGCGTGCCCCAGGCCGTCTTGCTCCCCAAGCCCTGCACCCTGCCCTGCTCTTCCACTCCTCCACTCGCCTCCAGAGCACGACTATCTCTCTGGAGTGCAGCCCTGGCTGAGTCATGCCCCATCACCTCCCTGTGTCCTGAGTCTCCACACTGCTGCACTCATCACCCTTCACCAGCCATCTGGCGAAGGCACAGCCCTCATGATTCTTCGAAATGGACTGACGCCACAGTGACCACAATCACATGGACATCCGCTGCCCACTCAGCCGTCCTAAATGCATCAGAACTGCCCCCTGAAAGGCACCACACGCAAACCCATGATGCACCTGCTGAGGCCGAAGACCTTTCTTCTGAGGGTCATGGATGCAGAAAGCAGTCTAGTTCTACCTTTTTCTTCCCTCTGAAGGTGTCTCCAGCATTCTCTCTGACCCAAGTCCTGGTTCCCTCCTCTCGCCTGCTGCCTTCCCCAGCCTGCTTCCTCACCCCATCTGGACAGGAAACTGCCCAAGGCTCCGCTGCCAGCCTGCTCTCCCAGGGCCTACCCCAAACTGGCCCCTGCCTGACTAGCCCCACTGCCCTCAGCCCCAGCGGCCAAGTGCACAAGCTCTGGAAAGGCCCACAGCACGGTTCTCTACCCCTTCCCCTGCTGGCCACATAGGCTCTCCCTACCTCATTCCTTATGCTCTCACCTCATCAGTGTTGTGCCCCGAATCCCTGGCTTGTGGGGGTGCTCTGACCGTGCAAGGTCCCAAAAAGGCAGCATCAAGGCTGGGACCATAGAAAGCTCAGGTCTTCAAGCCTGCACCACCCTGTTCTTGGGGTGAGGGAGACCCTCACCCACCCTTGGAAGGGATGAGGTTGGAATGTAAACACCTCGGCTGCCCGGGCAGCTCTGCCCCCTCCACCCCATTCCTCCTGGAAAGTGTTCTGGGGGTGGACGCTCACCTGGCGCTGGGCTGTGGCTCCTCAGCTGGTCGTGTCTCCAAGGGCAGAAGCACAAGCGGGGAGGTTGGGGTGGCTGCAGCGTGGTCCTCCCTGAGGAGGGCAGGGGAGCCCCCAGGCGGGGAGGGCTCAAATGGGCCAGGGGGTGAGGCTGGCTCCCCAGAAGGTGGGGAGGAAGAGGTCAGGGGCCAGGCTCTAGGCAGGGGAGAGCACGGAGGGCTGGGCCCCCCTTGGTGGTGGCTGGCCCAGGGCGGGAGAGAGGGCGGTGGAAAGGGAGGCTCTGGGGGAGTGGGCAGCTCCTCTGGACCAGAGTGGACAGACGATTCCCTGGACCCTGGTGGGGATGTGGACGGGAGGCTAGGGGGATCTCGGCTCCCCTGAGACAAGGGGTTCAAGACACCCTCCCTGGAGGCCCACACATCAGCCTGTTGGGAGGTGACTGACAGAGACCCAAGCCCCTCTGCGACTGGTCCCTGGCTCTGGGCCTCAGGAGCCTCAGGGCCTTCTCCTCTCTCAGGAGTGCCCCTGACCGGCTGACTCTGAGGAACCAAGCTTTTTGAGTAACAGGGTGGGGGGGCAGGATCCTCAGGCCAGCTGGCGGACCCAGATAGGCTGGGCCCAGATGCAGGGGGGCTGGCATCCTCAGCTAGGTCTTCCAGGCCTGGCTCGCCCAGCAGGGTTACAGAAGAACGGCTGTCAGACTCCTCCGACTCGGCCTTCTCTCCCTCCTCCTCGGCCTCCTGGGGATCAGCAACCAGTGCACTGGGGGAGGCATCGTCTCCTCCTGCTCCTGCCCCTGCCCCCTTGTTACTTAGCCCCCCTACAGCCTTCTCTTCCTTCTCCTCCTCCTCCACCTGGGATCTGGAGGGTGTGAAGAGGCGTGGTGGCTTGGGAGGTGGTGTGCTGGGCTGCAGCCCCTTGTCAGACCCCCACTCGGGTTTAGGCTCTGGCTCCAGCTCCGGTGGGGGAAGACCCTCGCTCCCCTTAGGGCTCACAGTTTCCGGTGATTCTGGCTGTGCCTGGGGAGGAGGCAGCCCATCAGACTCTCCCTGTAGAACTGGTGAGGCCATCTCAGCTGCAGGAGAAATGGTGACCACATCCCAAGGCCAGGAGTCGTTGGTTGTACTGAGCTCATGGAAAAGCTGGT